GTTGGGTCCGGAGTTGGTTAGGGTAATTTTTAATAAAAATTAATTTATAACTTTTCTATTTTTAGATATAATTAGCAGCCACATGCATAAAGGATAAAAAGACAAAAAATAATTGAGACGGTTGTATTGAAGTCGTTTTCCTCTCCAGCCCCACCACCCATCACAGTAATGTGCCCACCATTTCCCTTCCCCCTCAATAGCCCCACCACCATCATTATGGGATATTTTTGAAAGTTAATAAAAAATTAATTTTTTTAAATTTTTATTAAATTTTTTTGATTTTTTTATTTTTTATCAAGTTTTTTAATTTTTAAAAAATTAATAAAAAATTAATTTTTTTTTAATTTAATATTTATTTATAATATCAAATCAAAATGAAATGAGTAAAATATCTTTACCTAACCTAAGAAATTTTTTTTTTATTTTTTTTTATAAATCTTAATTTATAATTTCACACCTGCATTTTTAGCAATTACCAAACCAATTTTCTGACCCTTTTTTTTGCCACCTGCGCTTGTAGACATTTTGGATATGTTCTCCAAATGGCACTATGGCCTCTCTCTATATCAATTTTTATTTAAAATTTATACATTATATTAAACCATCAAAAATACTAGAGGTCCCAAAAATTCTACTAAAAATTTTACCAAATGTCTCACATGGGTGTGGGACCCATATGGGACCCACATTGTGTGGATCCCATATCTATGTGAGACCTTTAATAAAACTTTTGATAGAATATTTAAGGTCTCTAGCATTACTCTTAAACCATTCCAATCCTCTTTTTACCTTAAAATGATAAAATTGACACTTTACACTTTACCTATCATCCAGAAAATACAGAAAGCCATCAAATTAAGAAACAAGATCAAAGTATTAAAAGATTGGAACGCTAGCTGCTAGTAATAAAACAAGTAATAAATTAACCCAGTCTTCTACTATTTCAGAATCAAGATGAGTTTGGGTTGAAACGTTCTTTTTGTTTGTTTTAATGTAGTAATTTTATTTTCATTACAATCGAAAATTTAAAAGATAGACCGACCATCTAATAAAGAGTTCATTTATGTACAAAGCAATTACAGCTAATTTTTTTTAAAAAAAAAAAACAAGGTTAAGATTGGAAATTTAAATTGATTGAAAAACCCTAACTCGATGGTCTTCCTCGAACTTAGTGAGCCGCTCTACCTCGGCTGCTGAATCGTCCTCGGACTCACTTTCACGTTCACGATCTTCGGAGCCTTCTGGGCGTACCTCGGCGTCTCCGCCAAAACCCGCCCATTGTTACGCCACTTCAACGCTCCCACCGAAACCAAATCCTTGACATAATCTCTCTCCTCCTCCTCCTCTGCATATACATATACATACACATATATACATATATATATAATCAATTAGGGAATAAAAGAGGAAAAACATTGTTGAAGGAGTTGGATCGGAGAGTCGGAGGACTTACTGTTGTTGATGATTTTGGAGTCGAAGATAAAGTCGAGGTCGGGGAGGACAGGGTCGTAATTTTCGGGAAAAGGAGGGTCGATTTGGGGATCATGAAAGCGTTCCCGAAGCCAGTAGTCGCGAAACCAAGGGGAGGAGTGGACGAGGAACCACCACTCGTCGGAGAAGTCCTCCACCGCCCGGTACGCCGACGGTACGAAAATCGGAGCTTCTGGGTTCAAGTTTGAAGAAATTACTTCCATTGCCACTCTGAAAAAAAAAATTAAAAAAAAATGTCAATATATAGATCATAGACCAAAGAAGAAGATGAGAGAGAGCGAGAGAGAGAGAGAGAGAGAAAGAGAGAACCTGAAGCTGAAGAAATATCTTTGGTCGACAATTTGAACAGAAATGAGAGAGAAAAGTTGAGGTACTCGCCTTGATCTATCGTCGTCGATATATAGTGAGAAGATAGAGAAAAGGACACTGGTATTTGAATAATATTACGAAAATGACACTGCTAGCATTCGTTTGTTTTTGGACTTTTTTTTTTATAATTTATTTGTGATTTCAAAGAGAACTTTGGAGAGATTATAAAGTTTAGGAAATAATGAATAAAATAGAAAGAGATTATTCAAAAAAAATTATCAGACTCCTTTCAACAAGATGAATCCAAAGACATTGGGTTCGTTTGGTTTGTATTTTTAAAAAAAATTTGGGAAATTTTTTCTACAAATAAATTTTTAAAAGTAATCAAACCAAATAAATTTTTCTAAAAAAATTTCTCAAAACTTGTAAACCAAACAAGTTTTCCAAACAAATCTCTCTCTCACACACATCAAATCAATCACTTTTTCCAAAACTCTCTCTCAAAATAATTTTTCAAAACATCTTTTGAAAAAAACCAAACCAAACAACTTTTCGTACTTTTTGGGTTTGTTTGGTTTGTATTTCTGAAAAAATTTTGAAAAATTTTCTCTACAAATAAGTTTTTAAAAATAATCAAACCAAACAAATTTTTCCAAAAAAAATTCTCAAAACTTGTAAACCAAACAAGTTTTCCAAACAAATCTCTCTCTCACACACATCAAATCAATCACTTTTTCCAAAACTCTCTCTCAAAATAATTTTTCAAAACATCTTTTGAAAAAAACCAAACCAAACAACTTTTCGTACTTTTTGGGTTTGTTTGGTTTGTATTTCTGAAAAAATTTTGAAAAATTTTCTCTACAAATAAGTTTTTAAAAATAATCAAACCAAACAAATTTTTCCAAAAAAAATTCTCAAAACTTGTAAACCAAACAAGTTTTCCAAACAAATCTCTCTCTCACACACATCAAATCAATCACTTTTTCCAAAACTCTCTCTCAAAATAATTTTTCAAAACATCTTTTGAAAAAAACCAAACCAAACAACTTTTCGTACTTTTTGGGTTTGTTTGGTTTGTATTTCTGAAAAAATTTTGAAAAATTTTCTCTACAAATAAGTTTTTAAAAATAATCAAACCAAACAAATTTTTCCAAAAAAAATTCTCAAAACTTGTAAACCAAACAAGTTTTCCAAACAAATCTCTCTCTCACACACATCAAATCAATCACTTTTTCCAAAACTCTCTCTCAAAATAATTTTTCAAAACATCTTTTGAAAAAAACCAAACCAAACAACTTTTCGTACTTTTTGGGTTTGTTTGGTTTGTATTTCTGAAAAAATTTTGAAAAATTTTCTCTACAAATAAGTTTTTAAAAATAATCAAACCAAACAAATTTTTCCAAAAAAAATTCTCAAAACTTGTAAACCAAACAAGTTTTCCAAACAAATCTCTCTCTCACACACATCAAATCAATCACTTTTTCCAAAACTCTCTCTCAAAATAATTTTTCAAAACATCTTTTGAAAAAAACCAAACCAAACAACTTTTCGTACTTT